TGGTACAAAACGTGCTTCACATTATTGGATTTAGGCGGTTGACTCCCGCCACCCTCAATTGGATAATATGCATCTTTCACTCCATATAGGGAAAGATGGGTGTTTTTTGTGATTACAAAAGAAAAATTGACTACAGAAAATTAAAAAAATTATGAAAATAGGGGAACACACTTTTTTGTGCTAATTTTCCCTACACGTGATTTTTTTTGAAAATATGAAAATTGTCGTAGATGATCTGAGGAAACTAGCTGTCCATGGAGCCATGGAGCACCACTTGCTCATGTATTTGTAAGATCCGGCGACCACTCGTTTCATGAATAGTCAAAGAGCATAATGTGCAATTATGTCGGCACTATATGATATGCAAACAGATTGTCAATTCACCATTTCATAGGTGTGCTCTCGACTGAATGAAGTCTACGATCAACCAAAGTCCCACCCATGTTCCCTATCTGGATAGAAATCTTAGGTTGTGCACCACAACTAAGATGGGGGAAAACCGAGAAAACTTAATGTTTATTTGATAATTAATACGATTGCATACAATTAACTGACCATTGCATGCCGTACTAGGTGGTCTCAAGTCATTTGAAACATACACGCCACCCATCTCTTATTTGTTGATTTCTTTATTCAGACCACCTCAAATGCAAAGGTGCTTAGATGAGCTACTAAGTATATTAAATGCCTTAGTAACTCAAGTCCCCAATGCAAAGGTACTAAGCTTTTGGATGCTAAGTTTCATGCATTTAATTAGTTGTAAACTCAGAATTGTGCTTCCACCTAGGTACACATGCTTAGCAACGTTTCTTAACTAGAATGCCACATATGATTTTTTTTACTTAGTTGGCAACCTTAGCACCTGTACAAGGTGGAGCATTGGAAGGGCCTCATGTCAAGAAACAAGGAACAAGGTGGAAGTTAATGCACCACGCATAAGTGTTTTGATATCATTTGGTTTTCGTAATGTGCCTAACACTAGTAGAAAACAGGGCTTTGGTCACAGCGTAATATACACATTAGTCCCGGTTGCATTACAAATCGGGACTAATGTGAGCATTAGTCCCGGTTCGAGCGGCTAAAGGCATTAGTCCCGGTTTAAATGGGCCCTTTAGTCCCGGTTTGAGATACGAACCGGGACCAAAGGGCATCGCATCCTTTAGTCCCGGTTCGTGTCTCAAACCGGGATTAAAGATTAGACCTTTAGTCCCGGTTCGAGATATGAACCGGGACTAAAGGGTGCGATGCCCTTTTGTCCCGGTTCGTATCTCAAACCGGGACTAAAGGGCCCATTTCTCAAACTCTACCCCTCCCCCATGTATCACCATTTCACTTTTGAAAAAAAAACAAAATAAAATGATAAAAACTTCAAAAAATAAAATCCTTCGAGATGTAGGAAAATTTAAAAACTTAAATTTGGACATGTTTTGCAAAAAAGTGTCATGAAGAATTAAAACGGCTATAACATTTGCATACGATGTCGAAAAAAGTATAATATATCAAATGTTCAGCGTGAAAATCCGCATACGATTTTGACGGCATACAGCCTATTTGCAAATTTTTAGAATCCTCAAATTCTAAAAGGAAAAAAAATATGCTCAAATTTCAGTTTTTTTAAATGTTGGTTAAATCTGGTCAAACTATGTTCAAACTACTTATTCAAGAAGTATTAGTGTTACTACATAATTATTCAAGAATATTAGTGTTACTAAATAATTATTTGAATTTTTGAATTTTGGTCAAATCTGGTCAAACTATGATTAGACTATGGTCAAACTACTTATTCAAAAAATATTAGTGTTACTAAATAATTATTGTTTTTTAGAATAATAGTTTCAAACTCAAACAGTGAAACGTGTGACTTCATGCTTAAGCTGAACTCCTGAGGGTTAATAGGATTGACATCTTACTATTGTCAGGAAAACAACAAGTGCAGTTTTGGAAACGAGGGGGGATAGAACCCGAAAGTTAAGCATGGTCAGGCTGGAGTAGTGAGAGGATGGGTGACCGGCCGGGAAGTTAGATGATTTGGAATGATGAGGGGTGATTAGATATTATAGGTTAAATTGAGTAGTGATGAGGGGTGATTAGAGATTAAATTGTAAAATAATTCAGAAATTTGAAAATATAAAAAAAAATCAAAAAATTCAAAAAAAATCGTAAAATTTCCTTTAGTCCCGGTTACCAACCGGGACTAAAGGTGGAGCTCCAGACAACAGCCACCTGGAGGGCCTTTAGTTCCGGTTGGTATAAGAACCGGGACTAAGGGGGGGCCTTTAGTACCGACCTTTAGTCCCGATTTCAGAACCGGGACTAAAGGCCCTCTAGAACCGGGACAAATGACCCTTTTTCTACTAGTGTAATGCACCGATACAGAGGGAGTATAGCTTGAAATATCAAAGTCAACATCATTCTCCTA